TAGCACACGGCCAATATTAGTGAATGCACCGTAGTTAAACTCTTCTTTTTTACGTGTTTGTGTATAAAATGGAAGCACTTTAATAATTGGATGGATTCAGGGAAGGACCAAAGGAAGGTGGTTGGTGCACTTTAGTACTTTAGGTTGGGTAGGGCTTTCAATGGGTCAGGACAAGTTTCGGTGGACCAATTTTGGATGTTCCAAAGATTCCCAACTGACTAGCTATTAGTAAGATTTTCTCATGATGTACAAGTAATATATTGATATTATCAATATTCAAATGTGACAATTTAACACGAGCAGGTTTATTGTTGCCGTGATGGATGGTCACTCAATATCCCTCTAAAAGACGAGGTGTGGGATCAAATGATTCAAATCTGTGTAGCCCCATTCTCCCCATGGTAAGCTCAGTGGACTTTACGTGCGCACCTTGCTCTGTCTCCACCCATGAGCCCCTTGCAATGTCTGTTATTATTGTCAAATTACAGGTTAAAACTAGAGTCTGACCTGATAGTCCTGATTAATAATTGGAATAGTTCTGGGGTCTACTCTGATGCCACTCCAACCCGATTAGTAAGCGATCCATAGGAGGCTTATAGTGGAGCTACAACTTGTTTTGAAGAGGTCCATTTGTGAAGAAAGTGGTGTTAGAAATGCAGGTTTTGGTTGATTATGTTGAACTCGGGTTGGTTGGGACAAGGCTTAGTTGAGTTGAAGTGACTATACAGTATATTAGACTCGGGTTGGCAAACCCTACCTGATGGTTGCGGATGATCTAAGGTAGTTGGCTCCAAGCACCCAAATTCCCACACTTGTTTGTCCCAATCAAGACTTTCGGGGCAGCAAAAAATAGACGTGCCAGATAAGAGATAACTACTACTAGAAAAGGAAAAAAATCCATTAAATTCTATTTTCTACACTCTACTGTTGTAGATTGTAGTAATTCGTCCTACCTTTTTTCATTTTTTACTGTATACCAAATAGATTGATAGATATAGTACTAATGGGAAATGGTAGTGGCCTGGTGGGCAAAAAAGTGCTGGGCCCAACCGATCAAAAAATAATGGGTTGGGCCTAGGGTGTGATCGTCCTTTGAGCCCCGTGCAGGCACATGCATACATAACGTGTACCTACTTGTTTTGACTGTTATGAAACTCTCCATGTCCAATAGAAATATGGGATGAGAGAGATGATAGGGGGCACGTAGATCTATGTTTTTTTTTTCTTTTTTTTCTAATGAAATGAATAGTATCCATTCCTTACCAAAATACTAGCCCATATTGGTATCAGGTCTTCAATTGACTTGGAGAGTTATAAGCTAATGGGTGTGGAGTATTGACCTGTGGCTGTGGTAGCAGAGTAAGAGTTGGACCTAGTGGTAGCTAGAGACAAGAGAAGACAACTGTGTTGTGATGAGATGAGGTAATAAATAAGGCAGGCCTCCTCCCTGTATGGTTTATTAATTAATTGGTCTGACACTGGTAAGATAAATTAATGGGTTGAGAGAATTGAATGTCCTATAAGGAATCAATCACTTTAATGCTTCAAGTGACTTGACTTTGAGACAAAAGATCCCAAAATTCAACTATTGAGAAGTACACTCTTGAGTTTGTTCCATGCTTAATTAATTGCATGAACCATGAGCGGTGAGCCCCTCTCGTTTCTGATTTGTCCAGTCCACACTCCACAGCACAGTGAAGCTTTTTCGTACTTGTTCCTGGAGAAACTGCGCTCGCTCGCGACAAAGGAGAAATCGGATGCTCATCACTCATCAGTACCTTGGATCCAATTCCAGCTTCACCCTTCAAGGGACTAGTATAATATTCCATAACCAAGGAACTAATTTGATTGCGTTTAACGTGATGAACAACCCCATTACTAATGGAGATTTGCTTTGGCATATATAGTCTGCATTCGACTATTCGAGCAATTAAAAGGAAGAAAAAAAGATGAGTACTCTGCACTCTGCACTCTGCAGAGAGAGAGAGATAGAGTCCCTATTCCTTGTTGGAGTGGACCTACTTGAAGCAGTGGCCAAACAGGGACAGCACCTGCATTGTGATGATGTAGTAAAGCAATTATTTACTCAAATTTCTTTCACTTGTAGTTTTACTGATCGAGTGGGTATCCCGTATCGACTGTCGACTGTCGACTGTCGACTGCCGACTGCCGACTGTCGAGTAGAGACACTCACTCAACAGTCACGCTACTGCACATGGTTACAAAGTGTAGTAGTGTACCTTCAATACGAAACTTGACTCTTTAAAAAAGAAGAATGATGAGGCACTAAAATTAATATTACATCAGAATTTTGTCTACGTGATCTCTCCTTTCCTGTACACTCATATTGCTCTTTATTAGTTTATTTGGATGTTTGTGCTTTGGTGGGGTCTGTGCATGCATTATGTTTCCTGCATCTCCAACTTGCCACTCTTCAGCACTAGCTTCTTTCCGCCCCGACTCCCTAATTACAATGTAATGCTGAGGGAGGAATGATCTATATGCACAATATGCCATGGTTTTCAAAACAGGATCGGATTGAACGGTTGACTGGCAAATCCGGGAACTGGTCAGGTAATCGATTCTATTTCACCCTAAAACCATATTTAGCCAAAAAATGTTGATTTGGTCAAGGATCCACTAACCTAGGCGATTGAACCATCGATCCAGACAATGGTTTAAGCCGTTATTTTTTATTTATTTTTTAAGCCAGAATGAGCCATCCGGTTTGAACTGGTCATCAAAACGATTATTTCCTGTCCAATCCGGTTTTTAAAACCACGCAATATACCATAGGAGCTGAGTGAGGGAGATGATAATATGGCTCTCATTTGTTTGTTTTCAACTTCTATTATGTTTTCATTTCTTAAACCCTCCTTTTTTTTTTGTCTCCTACCCCATGCATGGATAGCATCTTTCTTTCCTCCTAAAAAGTCTTCACTCACCCATATGGTATCTATCTCAAGTCTCATTCTCTTTTGTGATTATATCTATATTGGATTTTTCTTTTGTTACTCTCCAGCTAGTATCTTGTAAAAGGAGAGAGATGATTAGATGACACTCCCTATGATTTTCTAAGATGTTTTCAATAACACTTTGGTAAATTTAACTCAAATGTGAGATTGGGGTATGTACTCTCTCCTTTTTCTTACATATTTTATCTCTCTCTCTCTCTCTCTCTAAACCGTTTTTAGTTCATGAAAAGTCTCTCCTCTATCTTTAAGATCTCTTTACACCCTCTCATCCACTCACATCTTTCACCCTTGCACCCTCATCAGAAAATGAGACTACAATAACGTGGGTGGGTCATACGGATCTAAAACGTGTTGTTTTCTACTTAACATTTAACCAAAAATTAGATCTTGGCTAACCAGTTTGTTAGTGAAAAAAAAGCTTGAATTGAATGCTCGTAATAAGAGTTAAGACTTACCACACACAACACAGATACTAGGTACCTTAAAACTCCAAACATCTTAATGGTTCCTTAATACAAACAAGGAATAAAACAACTTATAACCAAAATGGCATATATAAAATCTTCTTAACTAAAGCCAAATAAGTGTTGAATGTGATATCAATTAGATGACTGTGCTCTGTGCACATTTGAACAAGTAATCATTCCCTATATATACTGGGTACAGGATCATTACCTACTTTTTGGATGAACGATCGAGTCTCATCTTATCATGGGCCTCACGTGCACCCTGTTCTGTCCCCACCTACAAAGTAGCATCGATGATGTAAATATACTGTGGAATGTGCATAAATATGCGCCTTTCAGTCCATATCACCATTGGGCATTGGATTCTTCTTCTGCTTGCTTAATTAATGCACTTAAACTTGAGCACTTGGTAGTATTGCTGAAACATAGCCAGAATCAAATGACATAAACCTTCATCTCCATTTTTATATATCCTTGATCCCTCCAGTGGGAGGGACTCATCAGTGCTATCTATCCTCATCCTTTGATTCAACTCAGCTCAACAACGAAAAATCCAACTATATTTTTTGGGGTTATCTAGTGTCATGAATGCTCATTCTCCGATCCACTCTATTTATGTTCACATTGATCTACATTTTATTTGGAATCATCAGACCTTGACTCAGACTCACCATCTTATAAGTGTTGTCCATCTAGGCCTCCCTTAGCTCTTCTAGAGTCCTCAACCACTTGTGCAGATTGTAGATCTCTTCATTGCTTTGGTAGGCATAGCATGGTCATCTACATAAAAAAAGGTCCAACCATTTTAGCAGTCTGCTTTCTGTCATATTCATCTTTTATTTAGGGCTATTCCTATAGATTCCCTTGAATGGACTTATTTGTATATAATGCTTACACCCACTCTAGTTTTGCCAAGCACACGTCTCATTGTCTCAATTGTAACTAATTTAATTTCTACTAACTCATTTTACGGTTGAGTTTTGGAAATAATAATGGCTATTCCTATAGATCTCTTCTTGTTCTATTTTCTCTTCTCTGGAACAAATAAATAATGCTGCATACTGATGTTTGGCTACTGAATACTGATCAAAAGAAAAAGAAAACACCATGGCAGGCAGCACCCATTAAAGGATTGGTCCCAGTTAAAGGACAATATTGGCAAGTCATGGCCCCAGAGGCAAGCTTTTGCCTTGTTTTATTTTGTTATGTACAGGTTCAGCCAATGCAAGATTCCAGATCAATAGTGATTGACAAAGTTGCATGGCCATCCATCAGAGTTAGAATTTTGCATTGCAACATAATAAACAAACAACCATGAGACTATGAGAGTATCACTTGGCTTTATTAAAAGGGTTTTTTTTTTTTTTTATGGGTACAAACAGACTACAGAGTTTTAGGCAGAAGAGCACAGACAAGCTGTCATGCAGACTCAGGCAAGCCTTGTCAAGGAAGGCAATGATATTGGTACTTTCTCTATCGATCCTACTCCTATATATGCACACGGTTAGGGAGGGTATAGGTGTGTCCACTGCCCACTGCATCTGCAAGTCGATCGAGCCGGTTCGAGTCGATTGATTAATTAGTCCATTTTAGCATTTGGGATATCAAGGTCATATACATGATTGTGGAGTGTGGAGCCCACCGCGATCTGTTTGCTTCCCCTCCACTCTCTGGACTCTGGACTCTGGACACTGGTTTCCCTCTCCTTCTTCTGTCTATAAAATGCCAAGAGAGCGTGTGGTGTGGGAACTAGGAAGCAACCCTACTCAGAAAACAGCTCTCTCAGTCTGTGCAGGCAATCAGCAATGGAGGAGTCGGCGGGTGTAAAGCTGTTTGGCTCGTGGGCGAGTTCATACACTCACCGAGTCCAACTGGCTTTGAAGCTCAAAGGCGTGGACTTCGAGTACGTAGAGGAGGATCTCAGCAACAAGAGTCCCTCTCTCTTGCTTTACAACCCGGTATACAAGAAGGTCCCCGTTCTGATCCACGGCGATAACCCGGTGTCCGAGTCTGCCATCATTCTCCAATACATAGATGAGACGTGGAAAGACAACCCCATAATGCCCGACAATCCTTACGAGAGGGCCCTCGTGCGATTCTGGGCTCATTTTGCAGACGACAAGGTAATATTATCTGTATATGTAAGATATTATAAATGATTTAACTTGTTTTTCTTTCTTTTGTTTAATTTGGAAAAGAAAAGAAAAGAAAGCGGGTGTTAATGAATGATGATGTGCAGCTGGGCCCATCGGTGGGGGTAGTTTTCCGGTCGACGGGAGAGGAACAGAAGGCGGCGGTGGAGCAAGTAAACGACAACCTGAAGCTGCTGGAAGAGGAGCTTAAAGAGGGGCAGTTCAAAGGGAGGAGGTTCTTTGGAGGTGATAAGATAGGAATGCTGGATATTGTACTGGGTTGCGGTTCGTATTGGCTTTGGGTGTTGGAAGAAGTTGCAGGGGTGAAGCTGGTTGACTCGGGTACGTTCCCCAGGTTCCATTCGTGGCTTCGGGACTTCGAAGAGCAGCAGGAGGTCAAGGACACCATTCCGGCCACCGATAAATTGCTCGAGTATGCCAAAGGCATTCGCCAGTTCATACTGAATAGTCAAGCAGCTGCAACCCCTCCGCCTCCGGCCCCTTGAATATAATGTATTGTTGAAGAAATTAGAAATAGAAAACCCTCCCTCTGCTCTCTCTGTCTGTCTCCGTCTCTCTCTCTCTCTCTCTAGTAGTTCAATTCTTCTGTGTTTGTCTTTGTCATGATCGATGTTTAAGCTTCACTTGGAAAAAAAGAGCTTCAATCTATATATGGTACCCGTATCATTTACAATTTTACATCGGTGATCACGTACTAAAAGATAGCTTTGTTACAAGAAAACAAAGAGAAAAGGCAACCCCATTAATTTGGGCGCATTATCATTTTTCAATTCATGAAGGGGACGCATCCCCTCTGACGAGAAGACAAATAAATACAACTTGTCCGTCACCAAGGATTTAAACCACAGAAAGACGAAATATAAACAAATGTTTGTGCAAATGTTGAAAGGTAGGGATTTTTTTTTTTTTTTTTTTATATTCTGATCAGCAACAAATGCAGGGATGTCAATTGTCAAATCTTGTACTTTTCATGATCAAATATTCCGTGTCGGATACAAGTCACTTCCCCCCCTACATTCATGCCCAACATTCTTGGGCTGGGCTGCTAAATCTCTCCTTTGTGGAGCGTGCGGGTAGAGTGAGAGCAGAGTATGCCCATGTATCCATTCCAGTCTTAAGGCTTTCTAGTTGTGAAAAATGGCAGAGGCCCAATAGAATACGTACATATTTTATATTTTTAATATAACATACTTAAATTATAGGTCAATAAGCCCAGCCCGAGCTTATACTTTTCAGGCATGAGTTGCGATCAGGAGGGGTTGGGGTGGGCCCGGGTCATAACCCTTATCATTGGTGTTAACCCTGGTCCTTTTTTGGTCCATGGTGTCTAATTTTATTTATAATTTTTTTTCTCTATCTCTCAAGTCTCGTAAAATACATTAAGGGCCCATTTGGTTCGTGGGAATAGGGGTTTAGAATTGGAATGGGTTATATTTCAATTCTAACTGTTTGGTTGGGCAGAATTGAAATCCCATTTTCATTAATAGTGGAATTGAAATCCCATTTTCTCGTTCTAGTTTATTTTAATTCCTGTCTGAACTAAATAGATTATGGGTATGGCCCATTTTAATTCCAATTTTAATGGATTTTGATTTTGATTCTGATTCTGATTATGAATCAAATGGACCCTAATATCTTCATTGAACATTAAAAAAATATATTTTAATTAAAATAATCATTTTATTAGGTGCAAATACAAATAATTAAAGTATTTTTAATTGTTTGTATTTTTCTTTACATGAAAAAAATATAAACAACTAAACTATACGGAAGAATTCATAATTTTGGGTAAAGTTTAGGGAATAGGTGAAAATTTTCAGTAATCTATATAACCAGTTAATTTTAATGGTAAGAGTGATACCACATTTTATAATTAAGTACAGGGCAAATATAATAGGAAACTGCACAAAGACACATAACTATGACTAAAACATTGAAATGTGCCCAGTTGCTCGAGGTGTGAATTCAAACAGAAAATCCAAATATCCAATCAGATTCAGAGTCAGACAGCATTTTCTTGCCCTTAAACCGCAAAAGTGAACACACCTAATACACAAATACCCTGTTTATGTTCTGTGTCACAGTGATTAACGGTTCCTAATTAATCGATCGGGGAGTAGCAGTGATGAACAACTGAGATCAGCTTCATTCAGTGCAAGGCCCGTTCGAACACCGTACGGGCTTTGCACTGACTGAATCCGGTTTCACAGCAACTAAGTTCATAATGTCCCAAGGATACCGCAGCTGACAGTGTCTATTTCGCCTTAACAAAATCATGTGCTCGTCTGCGTGTCCACTAGAGAGATGGTCCAATACAGTACCAGCAGTCGGTGTACAATTTTACATCATGTTGCTGTTAGGGGTGCAGATGGATCCGATTCAAATTCGATCCTATTTTCTTAAATTCGGATAACCCTTTTGTCGGATTGGGTTGGACAATGGATCCGATTGTAAATAGGACCAAATTCGAATCACCTCTATCCAATACAAAATGATCCGATCCAAATATATATGATAAAAATAATTGAAAAAAATATTCATTATGCTTTTTATTTTAATAATTTATTAAAATTTTCAGAATTTGAATTGAATCCGATCAGATTTGTATATTCGACATCTTTAACAAGTTCAAATTTTAATTGTCCTTTATAAGATCCGATCGGATCTAAGATGTGTATTATCAGATTAGATTCAGATAATCCATGCGATCCATTTGCATCCCTAGTGTGTCAGTAGTCCTATTCATGAGTTGGGCGAAGCCAAGTTTTGTCTCCGCCTGACCAAGAAATTGGGTAAAAATATATTTTTTTTCATTTTTATGATTGAGAAAAATGAAGAGGAACAAAGAATAAAGGCTAGTGTTTTAGGCCCGAGTCCAAACTTGTAGACCTAAAATCTTGTCCAAGCCCAACCAAGAACAGGGCAGGCCTGGCCAGCCCGTCTGGCTAATCCTCACATGAACAGATCTATGTGTCAGGTAAAGAAGTATATGAATTTGATAAGTAAACTTTGTAGGAATTACATTGATTATTTTTGTGGGTTTTAAGCAACTTCCCGACCTCACAAACGCCATTGTTACAGTATATATAATGGAATTTGGTGCATCTCTAGATTCTCTACCATTCAATTCTTACTTTCCTTAACCAGGGTACTCTTACCCATAATCTTTACTTTCGAGACATAAGCCAGAACCAGCATCTGCATATGGACGGCAATCATCAAACTGGAACAGACACATCAACAAGCTGCAATCTTATTATCTCTTCTCACTTGCCCAGAAATGGATTAGTCTGCAAAAGAACTCAAGAGTACTTACTGTAATTCTCTGATCACGGCAGTGTTGCATATATGAACTGATTAGACACCTTTAAACCAAAAAGTTTGGCAGCAGCAATTAAGCATACCGAAACCGATTAGTGTCTGTTGGGTGTTGGCCCTGTGCTGTTAAGGAAATCCTTTTTCTCCCCTAATCATCCGTATCTGTTGATATATATACTTTGAACCAATACCAACATCTTGAATCTCAAATCGTGGAAACTTTTACTCTTGCATAGGCAAAATCATGCATTGAGGAGTTTTTTTTTTTTTCAAATATGATACAAATTAAGATATTGAAAATTCAGAGCTCAAGTCTCTGAATTATCGTTTATATTTTAGTGCAGGGCTGTTTTCAGTGATTTACAAGGACTGGTTCAAATGCGGGAAATAATTGAAATGCTGCAACGGCATAGATATACATATGATCGATGCCTTCATTAATATATCCAGAACAAACAAATTTTGAGGATGAATCTCAATAATCTCCATTGCAGGACCAATTTGACGAGTATATGGGGGCATGGTTTTTAAAAACGAACCGGTGATCGAACTGGTCAGGGTTTCGGTTACCGGTTCAAACAGTCCAAGCATTCAACCCAAATGGTCGGTTCGTTTTAACAAAAAAATTAAAAAATTAAAAAACGGTCAAAACCATCCGAACGGTTAATCGACCGGTTCAGCGGTTTACTGAGCAAAATCAATTGTTTTGGAAAAAAAACGGTTTTGGAAGAAAACGGAATTCCTGGTTTTTCTGGTCTGACCATCCAATCCAATCCGATTTTGAAATCATGTATGAGGGTAGTTAAACAATGGACATGTGGCAAATAATAGGGACCCAGACTATGAAGCATGTCCTGTGTCGCCATCAGATCCAGAGACCAGATCTGCTCCTCACACAGGGCGCCTCACAACAACTTCACCGGCACATTCCACTACATTGGAAATATCTCTCTTACTTAAGTGTTATTATTTACAAGAGATGATCCCAATGCATGGTGGGATGTGCCTATGAGATCGTTGTGAGGTACCCTTTGTGAGGAACAGATCCCAATTCTCAGATCAATAGCTCAAAAATTAGTTACTCCCGTTAGAATAACGCTGGGCTAAAACTGTAAATCATGGCCCTTGATGTATTGATGTGAACCCAAATTTTCTACTCAAATGGTGTTTGATATCGATCTAGCTTTTGGGAGAAACGGTGCCAGTTCAGCATTGTAGACGTGTTTAACAAAAAAAAGCTTAAAAATTATTTGGTTGAACCGTTTATTAGAAAAATGACTCATGAAAATCGTATGAACAGTTTATAAAAAACAAATTTGATGTTTTTCATTTTCAAGATCTTTTTTTTCCTGTTTAGGTTATGACACCTAATGGCACTGAGGTGTAAAAAAACATACAAAACGTCATATTTTGTCATGTTTTTTAAAAAAAAAACCGTACAAAACTCTTTCCATATCATATATTTTCTCATTTTATAAATGTCATCGATACCAAACAACCTCTTAATTTCTCTACTCGCACCTATCATTCCAACACGCCCATCAAATTGGTCCTACAATGTAAGCACAGGCTTGCCCTGACCAAAGCCCATCTCCACACTACACACATCTCACAATACAAACAATACAAGATACAGGATGGGGCGAAGTATAACTACAATTCAAGAAGAGGGGGAGGAGAATTGTGGGCAGAAAATCCGATTCCGATGGATGTGGTCCCACAATAAAGCGACATAAAGTGGGGGCATATCAATGCATCTTCATGGTCTTAGCCCAGTGCTACTCCTAGCTGATTGATTAATTTCTCGTGAGATCCATGTAAAGTTTTTTTGGTTAACGATAAGGTTGGCAGGCGATTTCCAGATTCCACATTCCCCAAGGTATTTGTAGCAAGGTGAGAGGTCGGCCATGGAGCTAGGGCCTAAGTAATGGCCTTAATCACCAGTTTATCACGAGGCTAGTCATTGGGCCCCATGCGGCACTCACTGCATGTCGAGTAAGCATATAAAATAAATAAATAGTATTAATAAAAGCAATAAAGATGATACACGAATTAGAAAAATACACTTTTTTATATTGTAATAGATGGCAAACACAAATATACAAGTTTGTGTTAAGGGGATCTTGTGCTTAACTTTTATACGGTTTTAGCACCACTCAACTACCTACATGCCCTTAAAGAGTAGCTTAAGTTTTTGGTGCTTTGACACAAGATTACATTAAAATATTTAAAAATCATACTACATAATTACAACAATGATATGGGCATTCCCCACATACAAAACACGTGTAACCCCGCCCAAGACACACTTGATGGTGCTCTAATGGCATGTTGCAGGCGTGGTGAAGGCACTTGATGGT